AATAGAATTGAATTGAATTTTCTTATAAATATTAATATCTAGCCTTGTATATAAGACCTATATTATCATGATCTTTTGGTCCAGTTGACTTAAGCTGTCAAATCTAAGGATATAAATGCCAAGCAGGGTGCAACTCCATCGACCAAGGGAAATCATGTCACACAAGAGTAGTGTTGATTCAGTGCTCTTTTTCAAAGCTTCCTTATTTGATAGTCAACAAGGAAAGGGAGGAAAATAGTGGCTTGGGATTGATTAAGATGGAGTATAGCCTAGTCTGCACATCCAAATATATGAATGGTTCTATAGCTCCTTTTGTAGACAATTATCGTAACACCATCCAGACGATTATCACACCATTATGCCTTAACAAGGGGATTACAATCTCAACACCTATTGGATCGACATATGAAACAGCTTCTCATGAGAAACAACACATAATTGGTTATGATATCAGATATCATATTGATTCTATTCAACCACCTTCACATGGAGTTGAACCGGTATCTTGTGATCTGACCTGTAGAATACTAACCACTGTACTATGGACCCATAGATCATGATAATATAGGTCTTATATACAAGGCTAGATATTAATATTTATAAGAAAATTCAATTCAATTCTATTTATTAAATATTTCTACTATTCTTAAATAATAAATATGTCAAATTCTTTTTATAACTTAAAGATTAATCTATATAAAGTAACTAAAATACTTTCATATAATAAAATATTAACAAATCAATACTACTGTTTTTATAACTAACTTTACTTGTCATATATCAAGTCATATTTGAAAAACAAGTATATTAATTTTAATTATAACTTGAAGATCAATTTGTTTAAAATAACTATAGCATCTTCATATATTTAAATAATTAAATTATTTCTAAGTAATTAAATACTATTTAAGACTTTGATATGGATTTTGAAATTCTTTTTACTATATTTCTTGAGTAATGTTAAAAGTATAGATAGAAGATCTTGAGTCTTGCATTAAGCTCTTTCTGGCAAAAAGAAATGTATATTACTTCAGTAAAGTTATAATCTTATTAAGTAGATTATTTGTCTAATAGGTTATATTATAACTTGAAAATAACAAGTTATATAAATTTTTGTTTAAAAAATTTATTAATAAAATAGTTAAAACAATATATATTTGTTAGTAAACTATGTCTATAAATTAAATTATACATATTGGCTTCTATTGATTAGTTGAAAAAAAATTTTTTTAAATCATAATTTGAAATTATTATTTTGAAACCAATAAATTTTTATTTATTTTCAAAAATAATTATCCATACACAAAAAAAAAACCAATATTACTCGAAAAAATTTTTTTTTGAAAATTGTAATATAAAATTCTATTACATACAATAAATGTAGAACAGAAATATTTCCCTCAAAATGAATAAAGTTTTATGTGAAACTATAAATTTATTTGATTATAGTTTTAAATTCCATAACCTATTAAAATAAAACAGATAATATAATATAAATATATTAATTTAAATTAGTACATTTAAAAATATAGTTAGATAATCCCGAAAGATTACTCGCTACTTCATAAGATCAGAGCTCTATTTTAAATAATACACGAAGTTTTGAGACATTTCCGGGCATAAGCTACATGGCATCCCATATTACCCATTACAATATTTTCTATTAAAATAAAAATTCTACCAAAATGCTATTATTAAAAGTAGTATGAAACTTAACCGTGATGTCTTTATTGGCAAATCAAAATGATGTAATTTTGCCATGGTTGTTTTAGAATTGTTAGTTCTATTACTACAAGGCGGATAGGGGTATGAATTACAAAGAAAACAAACAAAAATGCGTAATTTATGATTTCAAATCCTGTTAAATATTACTGTATATGCTTTTTTTTTGTTAGTCGTACTTTTGCCCGTTAATATTGGGAATTTTTGATTATTTTTTTACCTTATTCTACCAATAATACTATTATTTTTCCTCACCGTTCTCTTTTGATTCAATTTTTTCTTCAGAACTTGCATTACTCATTTTTTCTTCATTCTTGTCTTTTCTTTCAACCTCCTTTTGTTTTCTTCGTTCTTCAACTCTTCTGAGTGCTTCATCAGAATCTATTGGTTTGGCCTCACCAAAGGGATTCGGTTTGCTCGAACGGAGAGGAGGTGAAGGTTCATTTTGAGTTGTACCTCGTGGTTTCAATTCCAATTTTTTACGCATCGGAGGGGGAGATGTACCAGTATCGGATGCCACTGCACGGGTATGGATAGAAACTGAATTTTCAACTTTTAATTTTGATTGACTTATTCCCATTGAATTACTATGATTACCAAATCTTTCTTCGGATCGGCGATCGCGAAAACTGTTTGATTTACTAATACTAAAAGCACCGCCTCTCCATTCCGTATCACCTTTATTACGTTCAACTCTTTCGACACCACGATCCCCTCGATCACCCTTATCAATTCTATCACCCCGTTCATTACTGCGATCAAATCGATCGCGAAATCCACTACCACTTCCCCACCTTTCCTCTCGCTGTCCACCTCCGAAACGATCACTCCTCGGAGAGGAAACCGGCGACTCTCTGGGAGCTGTCCGTCGCCAGTCCCCAGCGGTACGGTCCTCACGCTGTTCGCGGTCGCGAGCTATTTTTTATTTATTAATCAGAGTTAACATACAAAGAACTATTGATGAAATATAATTCATAATATTACTTACGTTCCGCTACACTAACTCTGATCGGTCGATTCCCCAGAGACTAAACAGATTATAATAATTTTAATCAAACTTATGTTCCAATCACCAAAAAAATACATCGAATGTCAATAATTTTCTTACTATATGATAGATATTTATGAAATATGCAAATACAATACCTCGCCACTCATTTCCAATGCTTTTGTCAATGATTCTAGATCTTCAAATTCAACATAACCAAATCCTTTGGGTTTGTCATTAATGTCTCGAAGAATTCTGATGCTGATAGTCTGAAATAATAGATGTCAAATTAAATGCTGTCAAACTGTAAAAAGAAATCCGGAAAAATATCAACCTTCGAACTCTTGAAGAAATCAGCCACCTCATCTTCAGTTACGTCGAAGGGCAGGTTTCCAAGATGAGCAGTGTATGGAGGAGAAGTTGGTAGTGGTTGAGGAATTCGTTCTTGACGATTACCAAATCTAGATTCACGTGGCGATTCACGAGATTCGTAACGTGAATCTGTAATTTATTAACACATGGAGTTAGCGAAAAATTTATCTGATGGTTATAATTTGAAAATGTATAACTATTAAGAGAAGACACCTCTAGAATTTGTTCTTCCCGAAGAAAAGCCTCTGTTCCTATCACCGAAGCCACTACCACGACGATGTGAATCTTCCGATTCTCCATAACCTGAGTCGTCGAAGAAGAAACACACTTAATGGAATATAAATATAAAAAAATTTTTTTCAAAATTATATGAATAAATTGTTCTCAACCTGAATACGACGCGGCAGCTATGTGAAACAAAAAAAAATGTTGAAATGTAAGTGTTGACTGTTAAATTTAAATTCACGATTTGTATGAGAAAAACTCACGCGCAGAAGGTAAATCATCCATTTCATCGGCCCAAGAGCCGGTTGCTAAAGAATAGATAGTGTCGAGTAAAATTGAATGCACTAAAGTTTAGAATCAGAACTAAGGATATTTAACATCAAACATACATTGATCTGCCAAAAAATCCGTTAAGGACATTTTAGTTGGTTTCTTTTTGGATGCTTAAGATTCATGAGTATAATCGTATTTAGCTTAATTATCTTGAAATTCGGAGTAAATAGCAAATAATAGGATTTCTTTTGATCTACTCACACATTCTGGACGATGATAATTTGTAGATTCACAAAAAACGAAATTTATCTGGTGAAAGAAACTTTTTTACACAAATAGATTAGTGTTCTGGTGGCTGAGTCAACGCTATACAAATTTATCACTGTGATATAAAATTAGTGTTACGTAATTGAATTCGAATTAAAATATGTTCGAATGTAAATGCTAAGATATAATGTCAATCACGTGATATGTGTTTTATTAGTCTTGTTAACTTTATTAAAATAATATTTTAAAATATAATCAAAAATAATATATAAAAATTATTTTTTTTTTTAAATTAAGTGAAACATTTCTTATGATCTTTATTAATTGATAAGAATTCATTATATAATTAATGTTTAGATTTTAAGATATATTATTATACATATTAATCTATTACTATATAAATACAATATACGTATTTTGAAAAAAAAGTTTTTTATATAAAAAACAAACAAAAGAAATTATCTATTTTTAAAGAAATAATATCTCTTTAATAATTTATTTTATTTGAAAAGAGCATGAATAGGTTTTTAAAAAATGTTTTAATAATAATATTAAAGAGTTTATTTAAAGATAGGTTCCTAAATTAAAAACAAAGATATAATTCAAATGTTTCTTACTATTAAAAAAGTTTTTTTTTAAATATAAGATCAAAAAAAAACTACCTATAAAGGTTTTTTGCAATTTAAGCTACTTGATTCAAATGTTTTTTAAATTATGTTCCTATTAAAATAATAAATAATTAATTATATCCCTTCAAAAGGGATATAATTGATTTGCGAAATTTTATATATTAAATAATTTAGGAATTCATCTTTAATTAAAATATTTTTTATTCTAGTTTTTATATTTGAAAAAAATATTTAATTGTTTTCCTTAATTTGTTTAAATAGGAAATATTATAAATTTCTTTTTCTTTAATTATGATTTTGTTTTTTGAAATTTAAATTTTTTAATAAATTAGGTTAA